CCGGTCATCGTGTGAACCAGGGTCACAGCGACCGGTACGACCTGGAATGAACCGAGGTGAACCGGGACCACCCGGTTAACCCGACGGTTGATTGGTCGCACCGGGTTTTTAAAAAATGGCCTGGACACAAAACAACGTCGTTTTTCCTTGGGTTGAATTTTTTTTTTCAAAAGTCGATTCTGATTTCTGACCGATGACGCCAGAGCCCCCTACTCCCTTACCCTGTCGCTTCGCCCGCTTGCTCTATTTTTGTGATTTCCCTCGCAAATTTCTTTCTCTCTCTTCTCTCCCCGTAAAACCATTTTCTTGCCCTAGCTTCCCTTCTGTCACCCCGGCTCGCCACTTCTGCTTGCATTTTCAGAGTTCAGAGTGGTGGTAACTAACTTCGCCGTGGCTCATTCATGACGGGTTCGAGTTGACAGAGACAAAGTGCGATCGTCGTTCAGAGCTCCAGTGCCACCGTTCTGGTTTGCGATTTCTTTTCAGATTGTGAATGTGGTTTTGATTTTTTCTGTTAGACTTTAGAGTGCGATTGTGATTACCGTTCAGTTGCTTCGATTATGATTACCTCTCGTGAGCTCCCTTTCTTTCTTTTTCTTTCTGCTTGGGCCTGATGATAAGTAAACATAATGGGAGAATCAACTAATGTAATAGCATTAATGTATTATAGCTTTCATCTAGATGATATAATTTGATCAATTGAAGAGATTACGATGCTTCTGTTATACTGATGGATTTTACGAAGCAAATTGTTTAGCTGATATACTGATGGATTTTACGGTCTCTGTGATCATGAGAATTTTTGTGTTTGCCCATTTTACGGTCTCTGAGTCGAATGAAAACAGTATTGAAGGAAGGTAATTGAAAAATTGGCTGTCGTTTTTTTTGCTGTTGTTATTTTTTTCTGTTTTAAATCTGAAAGCTACCGGAGAGGTAATTGAAAAATGGCTCATGTTTATGTGATTACTGATTAGACAGAATTGAAGGAAGCCACTTGGATAGAGTATGGCTTTGTTATAAATTAGCATTCAACTTAATGTTAGTGATAGGTAACCAATCACGCTTGATGTAATAATCAGCTAACAATGTTACTAAAACTATGACTTGGACACATTAAGTTCATTAATGCCGCAGGATTCATATGAATCTAATTTGGACGTCTCATGTAGTTTTATTATTATAACCATCCCACATTTGCCCCACTATACTTAGAAAGCCTTCTTTCTCTCATATGGTTTTAAGTTTTAACTGATAGATTTTGAATGCTGTAGATAGATTGGTATTATTAATTTGTTTTGGTTTTATGATTTTGCTCTGACTCTGTTTTAGTATTTTATTAATCTGTAGTTTTTGTTGGATTATTTGTGCCGAGATTATTGATCATGGATGATACAAATATTGAAGCAAATGAGAATCCTATCCCCGCATCTGGTTCTACCAATAATCCCACTACCACTGCACCCTCACATGGGCCTGGTAAAACCGATCCTGCATGGGCATATGTTTCTCTTAAGAAAGAGGGAAAAGTAAATGTTTTTACTTGTCTCTTTTGTGCATCAAGTTACAGAGGAGGTGGGATAAATAGAATGAAACAACATCTAGCTGGTGTTTCTGGTCAAATTTCTTCTTGTAAGAAAGTTCCTCATGATATAAGTGCAAGAATGAAAGAATCTTTACTAGGAGGGGCAAAGAAAAAACCTGTGAATCATGCATAAGAGGACATTGAAATTAGGGAAATTGATGAACCAATTGCTTCACCTCAATTTAGAAAAGGCAATGTTGAGAGTAGTGGTAACAAGAGGAAAGCTCTTGAGACTGGGAGGGTTGATAATTACTTTGCTCCTAGAACAACTTCTCTTTCCCAACCAAGCCTGAAGAGTGTATTAGCAACTAAAGAAGCACAATATAATGCCAAGATGGTTATTGCTCAGTGGGCTATTGTTAATTGCATTCCATTTAATGCATTTGATTGTCCTCTTTTTCAAAAAGCTGTTGATGCTATTGCTGCAATTGGGCCTGGGTTTAAGGCCCCTAATGCTTATGATTTTAGAATTAACTTGTTGAAAGATTGGAAAAAAGAATGTCAACTGCTGATTGAAAGTCATCGTGCAAAATGGAAAGAAAATGGTTGTACACTTATGGCTGATGGTTGGACTGATGTCAGACAAAGAACTTTGATCAATTTCTTAGTCTATTCCATACATGGTATGGTATTTGTGAAATCAATTGATGCTTCAGATGTTGTTAAAGATGCGAAAACTTTATTCTCATTGTTTTATGAAGTTATTGAATGGGTTGGTCCTGAAAATCTAGTCCATGTGGTAACTGATAATGCTGCTAACTATGTAGCATGTAGCAGATTGATTAAAGAGAAATATAAAACTATTTTTTGGTCACCTTGTGCAGCCCATTGTTTGAATCTTGTTTTAAAAGATATTGCTTCATTGCCTCATGTGTCAACACTTGCAACAAAGGCATCTAAAATTACTATATTTGCATATAATCATACAATTTTCTTGTCATGGCTAAGGAAAAGACCTGGTTGGAAGGAAATTGTCCGTCCTGGTGCGACAAGGTTTGCAACTACATTCATTACCTTGCATAGCATATACTTGCATAAACATGACTTGCAAGCTTTGGTGATTGATAAGCATTTTGTGGATCACAAGTTAGCAAGAACCGAAGCTGGGAGAACTTTTAGTGCAACCGTATTGGATAATCGGTTCTGGAATGAATGTTACCAAGTTGTGAAGATTGTGTCTCCGCTTATGAGACTTTTGAGGATTGTTGATTCAGATGAAAAACCTTCATTACCTTATTTCTTTGAGGGATGCAAAGGGCTAAAAATAGAATCAAGGACATCTTTCATAGGAATAAGGAGCTATACAAACCTTATACTAGAATTATTCAAGCTCGATGGGATAGGCATTTGAAGCAAGAACTTCATGCAGCAGCTTATATGTTGAATCCTGCGTTCTTGTATAATCCAAGCTTGATCAAAAAGAACAGATTGCAAAAACATTTGATTGATGTCTTTGAGTCATTCTCTAATGAAAATCTTGACTATTGCACGATGATGCAGCAAGTGTTTATTTATAAAGATCGTAAAGACTCTTTTGATAGATTTTCATGTGAAAAGGCAGCTCAAAAACTAGATCCTCGTAAGTATATTTAATGTCATGTTTAAAAATGCCTGTTGACACATATTTAATATCATATATATGAATGTAACTAAATATCTTTTATTTTATTGTCCAGATCAATGGTGGTCATTCTATGGGAGTTCTATTCCGGAATTGCAACAAGTTACAATCCGTATTCTTAGCCAAACGTCTACTTCTTCTGGTTGCGAAAGAAATTGGAGTTTATTTGAGCGAATTCACACCAAAAGAAGAAATAGATTGGAACATGAAAGGTTAAATGATCTAGTTTTTACAAACTACAATCTGAGATTGAAGGATAGGTAATACTAAAAGCTATGATTTATGAATGCTTTTATTAAGTGTAGAATTCATTGATGCTAATTTCCTTGCATTTTCTCATTAAAGGGATATCTTGAACAAGAAGAAGACAAGTTATGATCCTATTGATTATGAATCAATTGATAAAGTTAAATTTTGGGTGGTTGAAGATCCAACTCCTGAATTTGATAATCTAGATATAATGAATCTTGAAATACTTGCCACCGGTGAAGATATCGCAACTGCATCAACTTTGGGGAACGAGAGGCATGATAAAGGTTTATAATTTATCTCTTCCATTAAGATTATATTCTTATACAAAAAGTCTATAACTAATTTTTCACATGACCATTAATAATTTGATTATTGTCATCTATAGGTGATGAAGATATACATATTGTTGAGCCTCCATCTTTGAATGATGATGATATTGCTCCAAGTTGTTTTGCCGGTCCTTCGACAGCTTCACCACCTCCTCCTAGTGTCTCAATGCCCATAGATTTAAATGAAGTTAATGATGACTTTGGTGTTGATAATTATTAGTTGGTTTGGTGATCAAATGATTGTAGGTGAAAATATTTTGTTAATCATATATCTATTTTAGTAGTTTTCTAGGATGAATATTTAGCATTTTGATGACATGGGTGGTAGTATGACAATGTGATGTTAATTTCTCATGTAAAGAATATTGGAACTTGAAAATACATTGTAAATATATGATTATTTTGTTAGTAATTCAAGGTACTAAGTAGATATTGAATTGTTGGATGGTATGATAAGAATTTAAAATATTTTTAATTTTTTTAATTTCTCACCTGTCTGACTCCCGGGTTGACTCCGAGCTAACCCACTAACCCTTGACCCACTGTCTTGACCGGTTCAGTTACCGGTCCGGTTTTCAGTACCTTGGCAAGTACAATAATTAACTTGCTGACATTGGGACGAGTCATATAAATGAAGGAATTCGCCCCATAATATATCTCTTTTTAATTAAAACATTAGAATAAAAAATAGTAATCTAATGATTTAAATGTTAATTATAGAAATAAAATTGATAAATATATTTAAAAGATATGAGTCCTAATAATAATAAAAGCAGTCTTAATTAAATGTCGTTATAATTGTCCCGTTGATTAATTCATCAGGAGCAATCAACAACACCTCACAAGCAAAGCTCAAAACACAGAATGAAAGAGAGAAGATGAGTTTGAAGGAGAAAGCGATGAGGAGGCTCGTGGGTTGGATTCAAGCTCGTTGCTGGCTAAGATGGTGGAGGATAATGGCTGCCGGAGCTAACTACTCCTCTGATTCATAATATAGGGCCTAATTTTTAAGTTAGTTTTGATCCTAAATATAAGACCTATTTCTCATATTTATCAATTTTCTCTAAATTACCCCTATAGATACTCCATCAATCATAATCAGATAGAAGAGGGAGATGGGGTATTAAGAAAGATGATTATGGTGTTTTAGGAAAAATGTATCACTTTTTTTATAATTAACTAACTTACCTAATTTTCTTAATCTAATCAAATTAGTTAAATAAGTCTTATATTAAAGACCGGATGAGTGTTACATAAAGTCAACCACCAGCGCTTGCTGCAACAGCAAGTCAATGCCATTGCAGCGACGTACATCGGAGAAACTTGCCACTCTGCTTCTAAACTCTATGCCTGCCCTCGCTCCATTCCTCCAGCGTCGTTGCCTTGACACCACCAACTTCTGCGATCCTCCTTGCCCTGAATCTGATAAAATTAGTTGAAACTATAAGGATTTACAGATTAATTAACCTTTTATAATTTGTTGAATTTACCAAACACTCTTAGCCTTGCCTTGGATGACACGAGTCGTGACTTTAATTTGAATGACCTGATGCTTTGGCATCCCACATATAAAACTTGGAACTTTATGTTGGATGCCTTGTGTGTCCTCGTATATAACATGTTTAAAATTTTTGTTTCTAAATATAAGTATTATTTTTAAATTTTATTCTCATTTAAATCTAATGAGAAGAGAAAAAAATAAAGTGGTTAGAATGATTTGTCAATAAAAAAAAATTAACGAAAATAAAAAAAAATTAATTTAATATATTTCTTAATGTGTAAGAATGAACTATAAATTACTTATAAGACTATATTAGGTCCATTTTTTTGTTCAAATTTTTCTGTAACGGGTCAAAAATCCGTCAGAATACTTTCATAAATTCATGGTTTTTTTGAATGATTTATTTCAAAAATTGATCCTTGAGGATATATTTCCCTCGAAGTTACTGTATTATTTTCTAGTCCCAAACAGTCATTTCCCCTTATTATTAATAGGAAGAATTACAATTAGGTCCCACTCAAAAAAATTAAATATAAAAAAATCTCTTGAAATCAAGAAATTATTTTGAAATCTCGAAGGATTTTTTTTAATAAATTTTATTTGTTTAATTACAAAATTATCTTTCTTTTTTTTTAGTTTGTATTGACAACTGAAATAATAGTGATTGACAACTTGGGATACAATGATTAACAACTATCACGACTTGTTTCACAACTCATGAAAAAAGAAGGGTAATTTGGTAATTAGATAAATAAAATTTATTACAAAAAAGTCTCTTAGAACTTTAGAATAATTTCATAATTTTAACTTTTAAGAGATCTTTTTGTATTTAATTCTTTTGTGTGAGACCTAATTGTAATTTTCTCTTATTAATAATTAAGCACGTTGGAGATATGTCTGGTACACCAATAATTGTACTCCACCAACTCACCCAGCAGCCGGCACCAGGTGAGTAAATTTGTCGTTTTGTCTAGGCGTAACAACGTCATTGGCCTAAAATTTTTACGTTAATTAGATTAAATTATCTTTTATACTTCACGTGAATAATAAATAAAGAAAAAATTATAGATAATTAATTCTGAAAAAATTTCTCGAAATCCCCAGATACTTTCTAAGTTCTCAGAGACTTTAGAGTAAAAAATTAAAATTGTGAAATTACGCACTTACCCTCACCAAATGACAACATACACAGTTACAGTTACAACCTACACAGCAGTCAATCACAACCTACATTTGAGCCATTCACAATATACACAGAAGCCAATCACAACCCACATTCAACTGGATGACAACATGCACAGCATACAGTCATAACTCACACAGCAGCCAATCACAACATTTTCAATCAGTGAGGACAAGTAGGTAATTCCACGATTTTAATTTTTTGCTCTGAAGTTTCTGGGGACTTAGGAAGCATTAGAGGATTTTGAGAGATTTTTTAAAGAATTAATTGTATCTGTTGTAATTTTCCCATAAATAAATGGGCGACCCCATCTCTTTTAATTTCTTCCTCCTCTTTTATCAGCCACATAGACTAAAATACCCCTGAAGTTGGCTTATAAATAACACATGATCATAAAAAAAATTATCTTTTATACGTGACGTGAATGATAAATAAATTTGCGAGCCCGTTCCTTTTGATTTCGGCCTCATCCTTTATAAACCACGAATAGACTAAAATGCCCCTGAAGATGGCTTACAAATAACACCCTCCCAATCTCATTGCCACTTCACAAGCAAAATCTCAGACACACCAAGGCTCGTAGAGAGAGAGAGAAGATGACGACGACGAAGAAGATGGTAGGAGTGGTTGTGCTGCTGCTGATGGCCTTGGCTGCAACTGGGGAGGGGCTCTTCGATGGGAATACCTTGCTGGCGGAGATGTTCAAGGAGAATGGGGAACCAAACTACTACACGAAGTCAACCACCACGGCCTGCTGCGACAAGTGCATCTGCACAAGGTCCATCCCTCCTCAGTGCCATTGCAACGACATCGGAGAAAGTTGCCACTCTGCTTGCAAGACCTGTCTCTGCACTCGCTCCTATCCTCCGCAGTGTCGCTGTGTTGACACCACCAACTTCTGCTACGATAAATGTTCCTCTTCTGCTTAATGCCGTAATAAATCAAAGCCTAGGCATCACTGCCTACGTACTACTCTCTGCTGCGTTGTTTCTATGTGTGTGAATCCCCCTATCTTATGAAATAAAGCACCTTGTGCCTTTGCTTCCAGTTTGCCTTTTGGCAGACTGATTATGTGTTTTCCTGCCATGTTGCTTTCCTCTTAAGTTGACCTATTTTACTTTTAAATGAGAGGGGGGGATTTTTTTAAAGAAGGAACTAAGGGCGTTTTTTTAATTTATTATCCTAACGTGATTTCACTTTCGAGCTAAAGTCACATCACTTGTCCTTTAATAAAACTCTCCGTCCGAGCAATGGAAGGGAAGGGAAGGGAAAAAGTAGCATCGATTGCGAGGATGACCCGCGCAAAGGCGTCCTTAATTCTGACAATTAGAATACATTTGCGAAACAAAATTCTTAATAGAACAATAAAGGGTGTGAGATGAAAAAATGGGTTTAGATGACGAGGGAAAATGTCTGTTATGCCCATGAATAAAAAGAATATAGTTTTGTTGAGTAATGATACAACACCATATCGCTCTCTCTCTCTCTCTCTCTCTCTACGTCGTCTTCATCACGGGCAAAGATAAAAGTAAAACACTCCTGGCTCATAAAAGTATTAACTTTGGAAAAAAAAAAAAACCAAAGCATGCGTTGTAATAATAAAAAATTGTATAATTTGAAAAAGCTCAACCATTTTATAATGTATTTCTTTTTAAAATTTGTTGTGATGAGCTCCCATGAAAGCTGCACATGCTCCCTGTTTTTTTTAAAAAAATTATCTTGAAACAAAAGATTAAGTTAGTTAAGGGAAAATGACATGAAAAAAAATACAATATTCTAATTCGGACAGCTAAAAATTCAAAATCCAAAAAAAAAAAACACCTGATTTGGTACTTTACAAATATAGTTAAATAAAAAAAAGTCTTTATATTTAAAAAAAATTATTAACAAGTTGTTAACTAGCGACAAATATTGAATAGCTAATAACAAAAAATATATTCTAAATAATAAGTTATTTATTAATAAATTGTAAACTGATAATGACAAATGTTGAACAGTCAATAAAAAAATGTACTGACAATAATAAGTTTGAAATTTTTTTTTTAAAAAAATATGATACAAGGATATTTTAGTTATTTGATTACATTTGCAAAATATCATATCAAGCATCACTTTCTCCCTTGAGATTTTGACTTATTAAATGCCTAAATTAAAATATTGTAATTTTTATTTTTATTTCATTTTCTATTTAGTTAAACCATGTATTTAAAAAAAAAAACTATAGTATTTACCAAATTCATTATGATTGAATTTCAAAAGTTAAAATATAAACAATTATGTATTGATTAGCAGACACATAATCACAGACCAAACTGATTAAAATATAATCACACACGTTTCGCTTAGGTTTTCTTACTAAAATCTAAATCAGATGGTATTTCTAATCTCAATCATTCTTCTTGAAAGTCAATTTTAACTTCTACTACTGTTAAATTCATTCGCTCTGACAATGGCCTGAATTGAACTTCCTGGGTTACTACTTCTTAACAAAACAGTGCTGGGGAAGAAAAACATGAGCATATTCTTCTTTGTGTTTTTGATTCACTTTGTTTTGCTTCTACATTGTCTGCTTAAGGTTCTAAATTTGATCATCTAGATCGTCAACGCGTGTTTCTTGGCTTTCCTAATGATAGTACGCTAAAGGTTTTATTTTGTTAGATTTGCACAATAACCAAATTTTCATCTCTCGCCATGTAATGTTCTGTGAATCAATTTTGCCTTCCTCCTCCTCAATTCCTCATCTCATAATACCGATCCTTCTTCCATTTCTGATCCCCTTTCTCTTCTTCAGATTTTCCCTTTTCTTGATTTTTCTGAACCCATTCATGCTTCATCCTCTCCTCTTTCTTCTGCACCTTCTTCTCCAAATCAGGCTTATTTTGATCCTTCTCCCCCCAGCCATTTCTGCTGATATTTCCGTTTCTTCTGCCATTCTCCATTCCTTCATCTTCTCCTCCTCTTATAAGATCTTCTTGCCCCTGCCATCACCCTTTTTACTTGCATGACTACCATTGTTTCTTACAAACATTAGCTCCATCCTATTCCTCTTCTTCAAGTATTCGCTATCCTTTATCTTCTGTTTTTTGTCTTATGATCGTTTCGTTTCTCCCCTTCACATAAACGCTTTGTTCTTTCTATTACTAATTCCCCAGAACCTAGGACTTATAATGAAGCTTTTTAAACGTGCTGTCTGGAAACAAGCCATGGCTGATGAACTTCGTACCCTGGAACGAATTCAGACTTGGGTTTTGACCGAATTACCGCCGGGAAGCATGCAATTGGGTGTAAATGGGGTGTTTAGGAAGAAATGCGTACAAGGCCAGTTGAGCCCTTGATCGTTGTAAGGGAAGATGAGCTGCTAAGGATTACACAAAAACTACTGCTTGATACTGTCTCCCCTGTTTCTAAGGCGACTATTGTCCGCTCATTATTAGCTCTTTGCTTCCACTGGTAACTGGTTTTTGGAGTAGCTGGATGTTCATAATACATTCTTGCGTGGTGATTTAGATGAGGAAGTTGAACTACTTGACTTTTCCCCTTGATTTTGCTTCTCCCTAACCCAATCTCGCATGTAAACTTCACTAGTTACAAAATGGTTTAAAGTAGGCCAGCAGATAATGGTTCTAAGTTCTCCACTGCTCTAGTTTCTTGTGGTCATGTTCAATCCAAATCTGATTATTCCTTGTTTGTGTTGGAAATTGTGCCATAGGGGCCAATCATTATGTTATAAACATTGTTGATTTATGAATTATTAATTATGTTATCATATTATTTGCATGTTTACTGTGATGACTATCCTTGGATAACTCATGATTTATCCTAAATGTCCCTGGTCGGTCATCTATGTGGGAGCAGAGATGAAATAAGACCAGTATGACTTTGAAGATATATAGAGATATAAATCAAAGTCATAGGCACACGTAAGAGTACAAGGTGTTGAACCGACCCGCTATGAGAGAGCTGCATGGGTTAAGTCATAAGCTTCTCTCATATACAAACCATGTCACTGTGCCCTTTCACTACAAAAAAATATGTTAATTCTAGCAGTTAGAGTGTTACATTTCTAGCGGTTCTAACTGCTAGAAAAACAGGTGCAAGAAAAAATTTTTAGCGGTTATCGCAACCGCTACACATCATGGTCAAAATGATAGAACATTTCTAGCGGTTTTTAACCGCTAGAAAATATCTGAAGGAGACACATTCCTAGCGGTTATAAAACCGCTAGAAAAGTTCCCGGAAAAAAATTTCTAGCGGTTTCATAACCGCTAGAAACCTGCTAAACGAAATCTATTTTGCCGGGAATTAAATAATTTCAGTAGCGCGCGGAAATTACTAGCGGTTATAGAACCGCTAGAAATGTTTGGGAAATTAAATTTTCCCGCCAATTGAATTTTAGGAATGGCGGGAAAAATTTTCTAGCGGTTTGAACCGCTAGAAATTTTGGCGCAAAATTTAAATTTGACGAAATATTTCTAGCGGTTCGGAACCGCTAGAAATGTTTACCGTGCCAGAAAAAAAATTTATGGTTTTTCATATTATAATTTTAAAAACCATTAAATAAATTATTTTGAAGAGTTTTTGTTAATTTGTATAATTAGTTATATGTTACATTTTATATATTCAAATTTTGTAATAAAAAATATGTAATTAAATTATGAATGTGTCAAAAGAAGTGAATTTAATTTAATAAGATAATTTAATTGAATATTTAATAAGATAGTTGAATTGAAGATTATATATTTTGTAATATTGAACCTATAGTATTAGGTTGATTAGTATTTGAATCAGTTGAGGAGGGCATGACAAGTGTGGAGAAAAAAAATCTGAAAGGAAAGGAGAAATAAATATGTTAGTAAATTTTAAATAAAAACAAATAAAAGATACAATGAATTATAAAATAAAATTCACTTACCATAGAGTAAAGAGAAAAAAACCACCATATGAGATAGTAAGAAAAAAAGAGAGAATTATGAAGAAGAATAGGAGAGGAAGGAAAAGATATGGAGTAAATGAATGTAGAGAAGATATGGTATTTATAGAGATCAGCGACACATTTGTAGCGGTGTTTTTGTAGCGTTTTATTGCATTTTGTAGCTGTTATTCATTTTCTAGCGTATATATAAACGCTAGTATTTCGTAGCGGTTATATATGTAGCGGTTATTAACCGCTAGAAATTTAGTATTTTTTATTTTTAAAATCTGAACAAATTTTAATTTACAGATATGTATTTTGTAGCGGTTAATAACCGCTACAAATTACAATTTCGTGAAGATACATTTGTAGCGGTTAATAACCGCTACAAATTACAATTTCGTGAAAAAAAATTTGTAGCGGTTATGTAACCGCTACAAATGAAAATTTTTTTATTTTAAAAAACTGTACGAATTTTAATTTATACATATGTATTTATGGACGAAAAATTTTTTAAATAATTTATTTTGGATGCTGCTATTCTCCATCATCATCCGGCCTGAAAGGACACATTTTAAAAAATTTGTTAAATTTATGTTGTATTTGGAAAAAATTAGTAATTAGTAGTTAATTATTTAAATAATTTAAGAAAAGACGTGTACCTGATAAGTGGCAAATTATCATCTCCTTGAGGAAAGAAGTCTTCAAAATTCGAGGGTTGGAAGGGTTCACTGTCGTAAATAATGTCACCATCACCCATATCGTAAAGATCCCGTGGCTTGAGGTGAACGACCATATTCCAGTCTTTATGTTTCTCGTCCTCGACATAGTAAATTTGGTGTGCCTCAAAAGCAAGGATATATGGCTCATCATCTTCAGATGCCCCCGTATGAATAAGTCTAGAGAAATTGACTGAGGTGATGCCCAAATGGTCAGTAGCGAGTCCCCGTGAAGTTGTCGTATTTGCCCAGGAGCACTTGAACAGTGTCACGGTGAAAAGCTGGTAACTCAACTCAA